CCTTGGCAACGGTTTCCATGATGGTGTCTATTCTCTGCCCTTCCCTTTCGGCCGGCCTTGTTAGCTTGAGGTAGCATGCCCTGGCTATCCTCTGGTTTCCTCTGGTTTCCTCTGGCGTAGCCGATGCCGCCACTGGTGGGGAACTTCAGGCATAAATGCTTCATGGAGATGATGGCCTCCAGGTCCTCCAGTGCTGGCCGCCCCCAAATCAAGTTGTGGGCGCACTGAAGGTTGACAACCATGAACTCCATGTCAATTTTGGCGCGGTGGGAGCCGTCGCCGACCTCCATGGGGAGGACTATCGTGCCTTCAGCGTCGATAGAGTCCCCGGTGAAGCCGGACAACGGTGTCTTGATCGGCTTCAGGAGGGCTTTGTCCAGCTTCAGCTGCTTGAAGGTGTCCAGGTACATCACGTTGACGGAGCTCCCCGTATCGATGTAAGTGCGGTGGATGATGGAGTCACCGATCTCACACCGGATGACGAGGGCGTCCCTGTGTGATTCCGTACCCGGAGGCAGATCCTTGTCGGTGAAGGTGATCGCCTCCGTTCGCTGCTTCTTTGGCTGGGGGGAACGTGGGACACCTCCCCAATGTAAAGGGATTGAGCCTATTTCTTCCTCTGGGTGACGGAGTCCCCCCGGTATTCCCACCTACGATGAGGTGAATATGGTTCTTCTTTGGCAGAGGCTCCTCAAAATCTTCGTCGTCGCTGAGCCTACCGATCTCCCGCTTCTTCATAGAGGGTTCACCCCCAGGTTTGCCGGTGTTTACCCACGTATTTTTGCGCGGGCCACCTTTAAAAAATTGGGAGAGTTCCCCCTGACGAATCAGGTGCTCGATGGCTTTCTTCAGCGTGATGCAGTCGTCAGTGTTGTGTGAGGAGTTCTTGTGAAATCGGCAGTATGTGCCGCCTTGTTGGATGGCAAGGACCTCCTCCGCCGGCCGAGGAGCTTGCTCAATGAGGCCATGCTTCTCGGCATAGTCAAGGATGGTGCTGACCGGGTGGGTGAGGGGGACCCCCGACCGTTCCAACCTCGGCCGCCAATGGTAGTCTTTCTTGCTTTGTCCACCAGAGCCGTGACGGCCCTGGGCACCCTGGCCGACCGGGGATGCTCCCGGGGCCGGCGAAGGATTTGTCTTCTTGGAGGGATGGCCTCCGTCTTTTTTGTGGTTGTGGATCTCGTCGGCATCAGCGTACAAGCTCCCGCGCTGAAGCGCCTTTGCATATGACCTCGGAGGGTCGGTGATGAGGCTCCTGGCATACGGGGAGCTGCGGAGGGCTCCCTGGTATAGGACGAGGAGGGTGCGCTCATCGGCCCCCTCGACCTCTTCGATCTCCCTCGTCCACCGATCGATAAATGACCGGAGGGGCTCGTCATGTTGCTGCTTGACGGAGAGGAGATGGGTGAAATACTTCTTCGCACGCTTCCTCCCGGCAAAGTGGGTGAGGAAGCGTTGGGCAAGGTCCTTCCATGAGTCTATACTTCCTTCGGGGAGCGCGTTGATCCACTCGTACGCCGGCCCCTCAAGAGTGGAGAGGAACCAACGACAGAGATATTCATCCGACGTGTTCACCATGAGCATGTTGTTCTGATAGCGGCTGGAGTGCTCCTGGGGGTCTGATCGGCCGTCGTAGGACTTGATGGCGTTTCCCCTGTACTTCTCCGGGATGGGAGCCGAGAGCACCCTGTTAGTGAAAGGGGTCCTGGTCCTGACCTGGATGACGGGGTCACCTCGCCCTTCGGCCAACTCCCTCTCAAGGGCGCTGACCTTGTTCATGAGAGCGTTAAGGCCAGGATCGTTGGAGGCGCCGGCCGTGGGGATGTTTGCCGATTGCCTGGCCTCCATCTGGGCCAGCCTCCTTTCCATCTGGGCGATGACCTCGTCCCGAGGATCCCTGGCGGCTGCAGCGTCGCCCTGCTGGTTCTGCATGCGCCCCTCGTGGGCCGCGTTGATCTGGTGGCGCACGTCTTCCTCGTGCAACTTTCCCTTGCCCTTGTCCAGGTGGGGCTGGTCCACTGTCCGGGACACAGACCTCAAGCTTTCTCTTGGCGATCCAGGCCGACGCTCACCAATCCGTCCCGCCATCCTCTCCGAAACCGGATGACGGTGCGTGTCACCGAGCCTATTGAAGGCAGAGGCTTTTCCACGCGCTGGGGTCTGCCCAGGCCGAAGAGGGGAAGCGGGGTGGGAGTGGGACGACGCCGTGTCCTGGGCTATCACCCCCTCATCGTTGCCTAACCTGGTGGCCAACGGTTGGGGCTGAGGAGGTGGAGTGACGTTCCCCCCAGTCCTTGGCAAAAGTGCGCTGAGGACTGTGGGGTTCTGAGCCAAGCTGGCGATGATGACCGACAGCGCGGCCTGAAGGTGTGGATCCACAGACGGAGAAGTCGCGGCCATAGGCTGGGCCGGGGCGTGGTCTGTCTTCTCTGCGCGCCTCTTGTCCAGGCCGATGCGGGCATCAGGACCGCCGCCGTTGAGCTGGTTGCGTAGGTCCGTCATCAGGTTGATGGCTTCCTGGAAGACGTCCCCTCCTCCGACCTGGTCGGCCGTGGCGTGCTCTTCACGCTCCCTGGTCTCCTGATCCTCAGGGATGGCCTTGCTGACGAGGTTGCGGTTTGACTTGGTTCTTCCCATGATCAGTGGTTAGCTGTGCTTGGTAGCGACGAAGGGTGCTAACTTGATTGTTCGTTGAGAGCACCAAATGATAGAGTATATTTGATGGAGTATATGGCCTAGGGACCCCCGGCCCACATACTTCCTCTACTACAATCAGGCCCAACAGGCCCAAACGGGCCAAGCCTAGAAAAATGGAGCTCTAAGCAGCCCACAATACGCAAAGGGGTGCCTTCGGCCCCATGGCCGAAGGCTACCAGTGACGGAATCGAGCTCAGAAACATCACAGGAGAACAAGGCTTGAAAACCAAGCCTTCGGCAACTGCAGCCCTCGGCAGGTAGGAGCCCTCGGTTAGAAGAGGCATCACAGGAGAACAAGGCTTGAAAACCAAGCCTTCGGCAACTGCAGCCCTCGGCAGGTAGGAGCCCTCGGTTAGAAGAGGCATGACAAGAGAACAAGGCTTGAAAACCAAGCCTTCAGCACCTGCAGCCCTCGGCAGGTAGGAGCCCTCGGTTAGAAGAGGCATCACAGGAGAACAAGGCTTGAAAACCAAGCCTTCGGCACCTGCAGCCCTCTCGGCAGGTAGGAGCCCTCGGTTAGAAGAGCCTTCGGCCCAGCACCCTTCAGCCGAAGGCATCCACCTCGACAGAATATCCTCTTCACATGCGCCTGGATCACCGTACCAAGTACAAACGTCACATCCAACCACCGCATTTAATGCAGCCACATGTGAGTGCCAGTGCCACCCCGGTCGAGGTGACCCCTCGACCACCAGAAAACTGACACGTGTCCTTATCTAGCATTTATTACTACTATAAATAGCACCCCTTTCCCTCATTGTAAACCACGCTTAATACATATCGAATATACACTCTCTCTCTTACTTATTTGCTCTGACTTCTCTCTAGTTATTCTCCGCAATAACCCCTCGGATAAGCTACCCCCGGGTACACTATCCATCAATATTCTAGAGAGAAGTGAGAGCTAGAGAGAGAGGTGCAAGTAAATGCTTCAATAGAATGATTTTGTCACCCCTACAACTACCTCTAGAGGAAGTATTTATAGGAAAAATACGGGCTGGGCTCCCAAGCCTTGGGCTTGGGAGGCCCATTTACAATTGGACCGCTATTGGGCCGAATACAATGTGTGTAGAAATGATTAAGTGTAAAATCTAGTTCTATGAAGCTTCCATGGCCGACGAGGGTCTGGCCGACGAGGGCACAACCGATGAGGGCACGGCCGATGAGGACACCCTGGTTCCCTGGTTTCAGGATCATATTCTGAGTTGGTCCCTCTTCGGCCGACGGGGGTCCTTTGGCCGACGAGGGCATTGCCTAGTGGCTTGTGCTTTCTGTTCTTCTGAGTATGTGGGTCCTGGGGCCTAGACCCATATACTCCATCATATATATATATATATATATATATATATATATATATATATATATATATATATATATATATATATATACACACACATATATATACACACACACACACACACACACACACACACACACACATATATATATATATATATATATATATATATATATATATATATATATATATATATATATATATATATATATATATATATATATATATATATATATATATATATATATATATATATATATATATATATATATTAGCTCTCTCTTCTCTGTAGCAATACCACTAGCGGTTTTATCGGGAAGCTATCACACGTAACCTTACTTTTTCTTAAAAATTGTACCACTTTCTATTATCCCAATCTTAGGGGAAGGGTAGTATTTCTCTCCTCCCTGCAGAATCTGGGTTTAATGCAGCAAACTCTCTTGTGAAATATAAATTCGACGCATTAAACCCGCCGTGATTTAAAAAATGCGTCAAACCTCTCTGTGTTATGGTTATTCATGTGCAAAACCCCTTCTATGAACAAACTTAATTGCCAAAAAATGAATATTCATTTTACTATGTGCATCTTGTGTATATGTTGTATACATTAGTAATTTTCTTAATAATAATTATAAGCAATATCTTGAGAGAGCAATAAAGTAATAACAAGATTGAATCATGGCCTCATGGGTAAGTGATTTCACAGTTGTAAAATTTGTTGCAGGTAGTTTTGCGTATCAAAATTATAAATTTTTTATATTATTCACACATATTAGTTTGACTACGATTTTCTAATACTCCGTAATATATATAATCAAACTATTATGTAAAAAATATAATTATATATCTGCTAATGTAAATTTCCAAAAAACTATTTTTTTAATTTTTAATAATACATAATTAAATATAATCACAGTAAAAATTGTGTGTTAGAAAAAAAGGAGCATATTATTGTTTTGAGATTTATAGTTCGACGAACTATCATTGTTGATGTATCAGGCTCTAAGGTGTTTTTATTTTATAGCCAAAAGGGTGCAATGTTAATTTTTGTCGTGGATGTAGGGGAAATATTTGACTGTCTTCCAGTCTATTACACCGTTTGTCTTGCCCCTCTGACTTCTGCTGCGTTTCTGGCATGGCAGCTTCTATATGCTCCACTCTGCAATTTTTTACTGCTCCTCCCTCTTCTTCGTTCAGCCTTCAGCATAGGTAGCACCAGCCCAGGAGAAGAAAGAATTCGAGAAAAACCCAACCCCCAAAGAACCGCTATCAGTTCTCTGTTATTTTCGACGAACGCTAAAACATCACTTCTTGTCAGGTTATCTTCGTTGGTTATGCCTCTTTTTCTTTCTAGCGTTCTACACTTTTTTGTTTCTTTAGTCGGTTCGTATATGCATATGTGATATGTGCATTCCAGCCCTAAGCTCTGTGTTGATATGATCACTTGATTTTTTTGGCCAATGCTGGTTCTGGTTGATTCAAGTTTTCGTTTTTCTTGTGCTATTCTGTATGGTCAAAATAAGGAAAACCCCATGTTACGTTTCTGAAAGTTACATGCGCCCCTTGAGTGCGCAAGACTAAACAATCTCTTGCCCGGTCATGGTGGATGTACTTTTTGGAATTCTTTGATTATTTCACATTATAATTGTCCTTTAATTCGGGTTTTGCACAACTTCAGTGGCATAGATCCTGTCACCCTGCCATCTTACTAAAGAGAAGGATGGTTTAATGGTTTGAGCTTGGGGTAGGCAGCAGAAACTGAACTTTTATCTATGACTAGTTTCTTGAATGAAAAAGTATTATTTTTTAATGTTCTGCTTTGGATTATCAGGATGTCAGGGGAAGAACGGTTTTTTGTTGCATGGGAAGAAAAAATTGTTTGTCATGAGAAAGGGAATCGCATTGTTCAGTACTATCTAAAAGATAGTGTTGGATGTCCACTTCTAGCTATTGAGGGCAGAGAAAGGAGTTTAAGGCACATGATTTACGCAATATCTGAAGAGTGTCTAGACTACTATGAATGCAGGGATACCTCTTTTGCTGGAAAAAGGTGGCATACAAGGCGTGGTGTTGTGGAGTGGCTCACATCAATGGTCTCAAGTCTTAACGAGCCATCACATATTCCAAGTATGCACTATACATGAAAAGCATTGCTGCCCAATTATTAACTTTAATTTTTCTTGAGTTACAAAACATTGCTGCCCAATTATTAACTTTAATTTTTCTTGAGTTACAAAACATTGCTGCCCAATTATTAACTTTACTTTTCCTTGAGCAAATAACTCCCTTGAATCCAGGGTAAACCTTTGTGGATATGGATTATTCTTTAATCCCTTTATGGTTTATAGTTGGAGCTTTGTTGAATTGACATTTAAATAAAAACATATGAACTTGTGAACGATAATGAACTGGTATGTACGTATTCAATGGACTAAATCATTTGCTTAAAACTTAAAAAGTAAGGCTATGCTAGCAACAAGAACCTTATTTTTTTAAAACATAAAACCACCTAATGTCTAGAGAGTAATTGGACTAAATCATTTGCTTATATTTGAAAAATATCGATTAAGAGTGAACTTCTACTGTATAGAGTGAACCTTGTTCATTTTATTTATAGATGTAAAATTGATATACCAATTAATCTACGACATAATTTTTGTGTTGTATTTCATTTTGGACCTTTTCCCTTATCTGATGTGGCTCAAAGTAACCATTGATTTTGGCATGAATTACTTTCTAAATAAGGAGTGATGGTATTTAAAGAAAAATTAAAATACCAGAATTTGCAAATTTTAGGAAACAAGATGGAAATTGCACGCCTGTCTGAGTGGACATAAAATGGTGTAGAATCAGTGTGTTTGTACTTAAATGCGAGAGGTGTCTCAATACATATTTTCTTTGAGGAGGGTCTTTAACTTTTTCAGTCATCGTCTTCTCCGCCTTGAACACGCTTCTGAGTCAGGGTAAATTCAGCTCTTATCTCTGATCATTTTCCTATCCATAGCTGCTAATTTCAGTCAGTTGCAAGGAGAAGTTCTCAAGATTGTTGCATCACTTTTTATGGTTTGTTTGGTGAAATGAATTCATATGGAAGAGATTTTTTTTAATTATGTCTTTGTTTGATCATATGAATAGTTTTTATTTGAATGGCTATCGATTCCTGATTTGGAAAAAGAATTTCTTTTTTTTGCCTTGAATCTTTTTCTTGATCAGTCTATTTGTTTTCGCCCTTGATAAGTTCTAATACACCGAGTTTTTCTTCTTCATAGGGACATTCTTTCTTATGTTGCCACATTTCAGAAAATTAAGACTGTTGAAACTTTAAATACCATCGAACTATAATTTGGTTTATGTTGAGAATTTATGTAAGAAAACATATGCTTGATACATATTCTCTATATATCCTTAAGTTATCTCTTTCTTGTATGTTTAATTATAATGTATTTTACCAAGCCTGCATCCTCGTGTCGCTACAATAGCCGTGTGCATGTATATGTGTGTGTGAGTGTTTTGTCTCGTTTGATTGTGTCTAGTTAAGGCTCATTTCAGATGAAAACCATGTTTGGAAATCATTGAAAAACTTTGCTTTTAAGAGCATCAAATTTGGTGTATTTTCTAAAATCCGTGTCTGTTTTTGGATCGTTCAAGATCAATTGCATATTTGGATGTCATTGAAAGACATTGTTATTGAGAACATCACTTTGTTTTTATCCCTATGAAACTGTTTTTAGATAGACTATATAAACCATTCATAACCATTCATATTTAAAATTTCATGATTATTCTAACCGTAAAGTTTACCTCTATGCCTCCTGTGCTCATTTTGAAATGGAAAATACTTTTAACACTATCTCTTCTCATGAGACAACAAAAAGTGTAGATGGCTTCACAGATAATCCAATCATTTAAGTTATTTTTTGGTATGGACTAGCTTTGCTGTTTGATGGATCACTCTTACTTTCAGTAATTTATTTACTGTATTCGGTATAACTTATATCTGTAGTTTTGCATCTTAGGTAATGTGGTTTATTTTGAAGATTTTATATGCTTGAGAGACATGTCATGTGTACATCTGCTATTTCCCCCTTCTCATCTTTGATAAATGTACTGTATATATTAGCATACATTACACTAAGTTTATCCCTCCTCTCCCTAATCTGCTTGTAGATACTTCATATGAGTGGAAGTCTAAATGCTAGCTGCTAAGGTGCAACTACAGTCTACAAGTTATAGCTTATAAGCTAGTTAATATTCAACCTCCAATACCCAGAGATGATTTATGAGTTTTCATTCACCCAGATGAAAAATGCTGAAGCACTTACTAGTTCATTCAACTATTGCATTCATAACAATGTAGGTCATAATGTCATATTCTTTAGGAATCTGAAGTGCAGATTAAAGTTCACAGCTATCAAATTTGTATGTGGTTGACAAAAAGGCAAATTTTCATGTTCGCCTATGTTGATAAAGTGTCCTTTTTGTGACAACTCGTGCATAAACTTTTACATACCTTCTCCACTGATTTAACATCTGTTCTTTTGCAGATTCACAAATTCCCGAGACAATGGATGGTATTACTAATCCTGGAATCCAACATTTGGTCAAGGAGGTCTCTTAACTTCATTCTTTTTGCTTAAGCGTGTATCTATTTTTGAATGCATGCCCACCTTTGCATGTTTATGTATGTGTGTTGATCTCATTGTTGTGGTGAGATTGCACTTAGCCTTCATTGAGTTTCCATGTTTCTGACAGAGAAGTAGTGAAAAATGTTTTCTTTCAGGAACTTGTTTCCAGAAAATTAAAATCAAAAGGTTCAAATATAGAATGGCTAGGTGAGGCTTCGGTCTGTTCCAAGAGGCTCAATCACTATCCAGCTATTTTGAGTAATGGGAATATTATACCTGTAAGTACTAACCTGTGAAGTTTTGTTCAATTATGACTTAATTGGAAATACAACTTATTCTCTTAGTCAAAATCAGACTTTTAATAATTTCTCCTTTCCATTTAAACTTACATTAAGCCCATTGTTTTTTAAAGAAACCATATGTAACAGAGGTCCCTTGATAAATGAGACTACTCATTGACAATTGACAAGACAACCCAAAAGGCCAAAACTAACCTTAAATTTGTTGTCTTCTTCAATTAAGACCGTTTATTCAGCATACCAACACAAATACAATTTATTCTGAACAAAAATCTTAATCATGACTTGAAAAAGTAAAGAACGCCAAGCCCTCTTAATCAATATGAAGTGGTTCGCTACATCTTATTTCCAAACACAGACACACAACACGCACTCTCTCTCTATCCTGCTGGAAACATCTAATGTTCTCGTGATTCCAGGAGCATTCCTTTGTGTTTATCATGGCTCAAGAAGAAAGCAGCTACCTTGGTTACTTAGAAGATCTATATGAGGACAACGAGATGCAGAAATGGGTAAAGATCCGCTGGTTTCACCATCTTCATGAAGTAAAGTGTGTGATTCCTCATGTAAATACACATCCCAGAGAAGTTTTTATCACTCCTCATCTCCAGGTGATCCATGCAGAGTGTGTCGATGACCTTGCTTCCGTGTTGACTCCTAATGATTACCAGAAATATGCTTCTTTTCTTCCGGAGAGTTTATTGTCTGGAGTCCATGTATGTTCTAGGCAATTCAAGAATAACATGGCTTTGCCTTTCTGTCTAAGCAAATTGCATGGCTACTACACCCAACCTATTTTCAGCATGTTACGCTGTAAGCAAAGTGTTCCACAGGAAGCAATGAAAGACTGTAAAAAGCATGTAGAAGAACATTCAGCCAGCAAAGATCTTTCAGTTCAAACCACTGTGTCAGAATGCGAGCCAGCTCACCAGAAGTTGAAAATCAAACTATCTATCAAAGGGCATGCTGCGACTAAACTTGTTGGGAATGATCCCAAGTCCTATGCTTTTTCTTATTTTAAAGTTGGGGTAAATATAGAGTTTCTTTGTCAGGATAGTTGCATGAGAGGCTGCTGGTTCAAGTGTAGGGTCATAAAAGAAAAGCAACAGCGTCTTAAAGTTCAATACCTTGATATTGATGATGCTGATGGAACTGGTAAACTAGAGGTATGCTGATCCAATATTATTACCTTCTATTCTAGGGGTCGTCAGAAGACGAGAGTTTCTAATGCAGGCTTTACCTCTTAGTACCTGTGCCAATGGTAGATACAATCTTTAAGCATTTACATACGATTTTTACCACTGCAAACGACCCACATCACTGAAAAGTATGAATTTATGTATGTATAAATGCTGTTATGTATGTGTGTGTGTATGTATGCACGCATTTAATTTGCTCCAGTAGAAAGTAACACCTAAGGTGAAATTGAGAACTAATTAAGTCCATTGATTTGAAAAGTGGAAAAATAATACCACTTTTTATGGTCAGATTATGGGGGCACGATTGGGAGTATAGAGAACTTTTAATGAAAGCACAATGAAAAGAAGTGCATTGTTGTAGGCATAAAAATGCACCCATGTCTGAAACAAAATGTGCATGACTGAAAAACTACGATGACAATTTTGTTAATAGAGAGAAGTGAACTTATGTAATATGTATACATTCATACACTTTGTATCATTACTCGTTGCACATTAAAGATTCAAATTTCTACAATTTTGCAACTTAAGATTTTGATTTTGATAAATATTAATTGAGAAAAGGCCAGATTTTTTTCTTTGTTCATAAGAAAGCTAGCTTTCACGACAACCTACCCATGTGTGTGTGTCCATACACACATTTCCTTCTACAAAAATCTTTACGGCCCACTTTTCTTGCTTGACTGTTTATAGGAGTGGATTCATGCATCAAGAGTTGCAGCACCTGATAAGCTTAGCATGAGATGTCCTGGACGCCTCACAATCCGGCCTTGGCCTCTTAGGGGAGCCTTAAAGCGCTCTTTTAAAGTAGGAGAAGCAGTTGACGCATGGTGGTGTGATGGCTGGTGGGAAGGTGTTATAGCTGGATGTGATGTTTCAAGAAGGCATCACTTTCAAGTTTACTTCCCAGGTACTTTTGTACTCCCAAATTCCATCCCTTTTTTCCCGTGGAACCCCCTCAACCACGAAAGTATCTATGCATTTCTTTTTGCATTCGAGCATTGAATTCTTATTTTGCTTATCTCCTTCAGGAAGCTAAAAATTAAAAGCTTAGTGTTTAACTATTCTATAAGGCATTTGGTCCAATCTATGAACTATTTCAATCCCATCATTTTCTCCTAACTTCAATTTGGGAATCTGACAGATTAAATGAACGTGTTAATATAAACAATATATATGAATGATAAAGGAAGGGCCTTGTTGCTTAGTTATGCAGAGAATTTGGATTGGCGAGTAATCATTAGGTTGCCTTTCCTTTCCAATCTCAGGTGATAATAGGTCAATGACATTCCCAATGAAGAATTTGAGGATTTCAAGAGATTGGATTGACAACAAGTGGGTTGATATAAAACCAAAGCATGACATCTGCTCCTTCATTTCTGCTGCCACCGCTTCTAGTTCAATGCCTTCATTGTGCTCAACCCTGGCTAAGGCTTCTGGGGCTAGTTTGTCACCTGCAGAGACAAACAATTAGTGATGCAGTCCTTTATGTAAGAAGGGGAAATACCTCTTAAGAGACAACCAAGTTCATCAGGGAACTAGCATGGGAGGACAAACCTGTGGTGGTATCATTAAGTTGTGAATACTAAATTGTCTTAAAATTTAAAAAATTTATGGGACAACAATATCTACAGCTTCAAATAATCAATAGGTAGAAAAAAGAGATCTGGATCAAACATGGTGTCAGGCCATAAAGAAAATAGAGTTTGTCAGGGTTTTTGTTTGAAAGGAGCCAATTTCTGCATTGTTCTGCTTTAATGGGAACTGACATCTTTAGACAAACTTTTGCCCTCATTTTGTATAAAAGTTTACATTGCCCTTAAACCTGAAAAGACCAAGATTTTTTACACCGTTAGTTTACTCGGATCAGTCGGATGTCGGAATATGACAGTGTCATGTAGATAGAAGGGAAAATGCCAGAAATAGTCCTGGACTATTTTAACAGGACCTAATTTAGTCCTTGACTTTCTATTTGATCATATTTTATCCTAGAGTTCCATGTGTTGTCAAAGCGTAGTCCTTATTTTGTATTGGTCTGGTCTGTGGTCTCCCCTCCTCCGTTAACTAAGAGGATATTACAATCAATTACCATCCAAATCCTATGCAAATACAGCGTCTAACATGAAACAAACAATCTCTTCTGTATTTAAACTAGCACTCTTCAGTCAAGTTTTATGATATCTACAGTCAATTTCCATGGTTACATTTGTTAGTTGTTGTTTTTGAGTGTAAGATGTTTAGATTCCTAAACCAGAGTAACCAGTAGGGGCAAAGTATTTCATTTGTTGTCTCCTTTTTCGCTTTTTTGTTGTTGTTCGAATTTGTATGAATGGCATTATGGCATGTTAAGGATTTCAGTTTGACATGCGTATGTGTTTGTGGGTTTTGCTATTTACGGATTTCAGTTTCCTGTTTCATTGCACCTTGTTTAAGATTCTCAGTTTCAAGCTTTATTAATCTACTTGTTATATTGTAATGCTTAGTATGTTATTTGAAGTCACAAAATCAAGCTTGCAAATTTGTTAATATACTCCGTATATAAAAAAGTTATATTTCAGTTTGAAGTTTATTAATATTTCCTTTTATTTCTGTTTGCAGCTTATTAATATTTCACTTTTGTGATATATTGATTAATATTTCAGTTTAATTAAGGATGGAATATGTTGTATATTGGTTTTAGTAATGTGCAAGGATTTATATATGTTGTAATGTTGTTTGTGGATGTTGTTCCAAAACTTCAGTTCCCAGCTGCAAGTCATCAAAAAAAATCTGTCATTTCTTGGGGAGTCTAGTTTACCCATACCAAATTTCAGATAACAATTCAACTGGGAAGATAGTCAAATGATTTTCTGAAATGTATTGCGTTGTTTAACTGCGCAGTTATCTTCAAAAATTCATTTGACTGCCTTCCCGATTGAATGTTTAGCTGCAATTTGATATGAGTAATCTAGACTCAATGAAGAAGATTCTCGAAAGAATTCATCAAAATTTCCACCGGGAACTGTCCCAAATGGAATTGCCCCTCGGGTGATTTGCACTTTTTAAGTTAGTTCAAGAGCCTATATGACCTTTTTTCCGTCATTTCTTTTAGATGACTTAACTGGAACAAAGATTTGTCATACGAAGTAATAAAGAGGCAAGCCAATCAGGAAAAAAGGTTAATAAGAAGAGTGATTTTGAGATGTGTTTTGATATCATGTTACCTGCTTTGTATGGATACTAGCACACATTGGACGTCCATGTGTGGGTGGGTTATTATAGTGTTGATTATTTAGTTTTGTTGATGACTAACCTTAAACAGAATTGAACAGTATCCTTGGGTCCAAACAAGCTGACCATGCAGGAGGAACCCTTGGATAGAACTACTATTGGAACGTATCTTGTTCTGTTCGTAATTATCATTCTTATCCATATCAAGTGTTTCACTTATCTATGCTTGCCTATATTTCATTTATATTATTTTACATGTGGCACATCTCTCATGTATGACTAAGCACCCACTTTAGAGAGCTGACCCTCATTATGGTTATTGCATGTTATGGAAGTAATCACTACTTATGCTAAATGAATACATTGCCATATTTATAGTTGTTCGTAGCATGCTATACTTGATAAAATCATCCTTGATTGAAATTGATGGATTATAGGGTATCCAAGTATGTATAAAATGTAGAGATTTGAGCTAGATAATTGGAGAAGATGGATGAATAGTAGAAATGATATTGTGTATGAATTATGAGTTGTGAAAGTTAGGTTTACAAATGGCTCCAAGAGGAGTATAAATAGGGAAATAATGGGCCGGGCCGCTAATATGGGCCCGGTAGCCCAACTACATAAAAGACTAATCTAGTACATAGTTACATACAAATGACATATAAGCAGTACAATAATACAAATGATATCCGTAAGATGTGTGTGTGGGCCGCTGTCCGGGCCCAATAGTCGTGAGACCCGGGGGTCCGAGTCTATATACTCTATCAGGAGTCCCCCACTCTCTGAGTCGAGAGTATTCGAGGCGAAAGAGAGTAGAACTGTGTGCTGATCTGTCGCCGTCTGGTGAGTAAACTTCATGAACAAAAATTTGAAATTCTGCTTCTTTGGTTAACGGAGACGCTAAGTCCCCCGCTCTTCCAGTCCCCCACTCCTTGAGGCGAGTGTAATGAGGTGAAGAGGAGTAGAGTAATGCGTGTCGGATGATGTCTTCAACAGGGGGCCGAGGGTTGACACCTTTTGATCCACGATGGGGAGATGCCTCGTTAAAAACCTCATTAGGAAAAACCCTGTGGGAAAAAATCCTAATGAGGGAAAAAGAGTACACCGGATGCCCCCAAAATGAAACAAAAGGTGCGAGCCCTTCGGCCTGGAGATGGAGCTGCAGCGGTGCCCGTCTGCTGGATGGTCGAGGCCGATCTCTAGATGTGGGTAGCTCATCATGATCAGTAGTCCTAGTCATCAAATAAAGATGACTAAGGGATGGGTCGAGCGACCGTCCACAATATGATGCCTGGTTCATCAAATAAAGATGACCAGAACGTAAGGCCGATGGGCCGAGAGGCCTGTACGAGAGCTCCACGTCGTCAAATAAAGACGACGGGGCGATGGTGCGGCCGAGGGGCCTGCATAAGAGCTCCACGTCGTCAAATAAAGAAGACGGGGCGATGGCGCGGCCGAGGGGCCTGCAGAAGACCTCCACGTCGTCAAATAAAGACGACGGGGCGATAGGGCGGCCGAGGGGCCTGCATAAGAGCTCCACGTCGTCAAATAAAGACGACGGAGCGATGGTGCGGCCGAGGGGCCTGCATAAGAGCTCCACGTCGTCAAATAAAGACGACGGGGCGATGGTGCGGCCGAGGGGCCTGCATAAGAGCTCCACGTCGTCAAATAAAGACGACGGGGTGATGGTGCGGCCGAGGGGCCTGCATAAGAGCTCCACGTCGTCAAATAAAGACGACGAGGCGATGGTGCGGCCGAGGGGCCTGCATAAGAGCTCCACGTCGTCAAATAAAGACGACGAGACGATGGTGTGGCCGAGGGGCCTGCATAAGAGCTCCACGTCGTCAAATAAAGATGACGGGGCGACGTATGGCCGAGAGGCCTACATGAGAGCCCCACATCATCAAATAAAGATGACGGGGTGATGTATGGCTCAGAGGCCTATATGCGAGCGCCATATCATCAAATAAAGATGACAGAGCGACATATGGCCGATGGGCCTGTAAATGAGCTTCGCGTCATCAAATAAAGATGACGAGGCGATATATGCCCGATGGGTCTGCAACTGAGCTTCGCGTCATCAAATAAAGATGACGGAGCAAGATGTGGCTCAGAGGTCTACAAATGAGTTCCTCGTCATCAAATAAGGACGACAGAACGATATATGGCTGATGGTCCTGTAGATGAGCTCTTCGTCATTAAATAAAGATGACAGAGCGATATACGGCCGATGGGCCTACAAATGAGCTCTTCATCATCAAATAAAGATGACAGAGCGATATATGGACGATGGGCCTACAAATGAGCTTCTTCATCATCAAATAAAGATGACAGAGCGATATATGGCCGATGGGCCTACAAATGAGCTCTTCATCATCAAATAAAGATGACAGAGCGATATATGGCCGATTGGCCTGCAAATGAGATTCGCGTCATCAAATAAAGATGACAGAGCGATATATGGCTGAACTCTGGGCTCCTTTAGCCTTTCGGCCGGAGACCGCAAGATGTTCGCTATAACTGAATAGGGGGACGAGGCGGTGGACGCCTGTCTGAATATGAGGACGACGACGCTGATGAGTCGGTCCGAATATGAGGACGACAGCGCTGACGAACCGGTCCGAATATGGGGACGAGGCGATGATAAGCCATGCGTCATATGAGGGCGACGGTCACCTTCCAGGAAGGGAATGGCGAGCCTGGTCACTAGATAAGGACTTCGGCGCTGGGGCCGGTCTAAATGTGAGGACGAGGCGATGATGAGCCGTGCGTCATATAGGGGCGACGGTCGCCATCCGGGAAGGGATGGCGAGCCCAATCGCTATAACAAGACTTCGGCGCTGGGAGCCGGTCTTGAGATAAATAATCACGTCGCGGCCGAGAGGCTGATCGCGATGTGCGGATGACAATGATGAGGAGCCAGTCCGAAATATGATGACGAGGCGATGATGGAGCCGATCGTCATATAGAGGCGATAGTCACCATCCAGGAGGGGATGGCGAGCCTGATCGCTAGCCCAACACACTCGGCGCTGATGAAGCCGGTGTTGGGATAGATAGTCACGCCGAGGCCGAGGGGCCGGTCGTGATGCGCGGATGGCGATGAAAAGAGCCAATCCGAAATATGATGACAGACAATGATGAGCCGGTCGTCATATAGAGGCGATGGTCACCATCCGGGAAGAGATGATGAGCCCGATCGCCAGCTCAAGACTCTCGGCGCTGAGGAAGCCGATCTTGAGATAGATGATCACGCCGAGGCCGAGGGGCCGGTCGTGATGTGAGGACAACGAAGATGAGGAGTCGGTCCTAATAATGATGACGAGGCGATGGTGAAGCCGATCGTCATATAGAGGCGATGGTCACCATCCGGGAAGAGATGATGAGCCCGATCGCCAGCTCAAGACTCTCGGCGCTGAGGAAGCCGGTCTTGAGATAGATGATCACGCCGAGGCCGAGGGGCCGGTCGTGATGTGAGGACAACGACGATGAGGAGTCGGTCCTATAATATGATGACGAGGCGCTGATGAAGCCGATCGTCATATAAAGGCGATGGTCACCATCCGGGAAGGGATGGCGAGCCCGATCGCTAGCTCAAGACTCGCGGCGCTGAGGAAGCCGGTCTTGAGATAGAAAATCACGCCGAGGCCGAGGGGCTGGTCGTGATATGAGGACGACAACGATGAGGAGTCGGTCCAAATAATGATGACGAGACGACGGTGAAGCCGATGGTCATATAGAGGCGATGGTCACCATCCGGGAAGGGATGGCGAGCCCGATCGCTGGCTCAAGACTCGCGGCGCTGAGGAAGCCGGTCTTGAGATAGATGATCACGCCGAGGCCGAGGGGCCGGCCGTGATGTGAGGACAACGGCGATGAGGAGCCGGTCCTATAATATGATGACGAGGCGCTGATGAAGCCGATCGTCATACAAAGGCGATGGTCACCATCCGGGAAGGGATGGCGAGCCCGATCGCTAGCTCAAGACTCGCGGCGCTAAGGAAGCCGGTCTTGAGATAGATGATCACGCTGAGCCCGAGGGGCCGGCCGTGATGTGAGGACAACGGCGATGAGGAGCCGGTCCTATAATATGATGACGAGGCGCTGATGAAGCCGATCGTCATATAAAG